TCTAAATTGTCTTCACTCAACATTGTTAGAACCTCTATGTATGTGTCATCTGGGCCTGGTGCTTTTCCCCATTTGCTCTGTTTGATTACCCTTACAACTTCTGACTTCAATATTTTGGAGGATCGTTCACTTTTATATTCACTTTTAGAGTTTCTTCTAGTTGTGTCTGAGTTTAGTTGCTGTGTGTAGTTTCTCCAATGTTGAAGTAGATCCTTAGGGTCAGTAATTAGATTATTGTCCTTCACAATACTGTTAAAACTGCAAGGTTTTGTATGATCTGCCACTTCTTTAGTAAGTTTATGTATGTTAAAGTGGTCATGTTTTTCTTCCAATTCCTCCATTTTTGCACACCTGTCAAGCAGCCACTGTTCTTTAGCTTTGCGACACTCTTTTTGTATTTGTCGGTTGATCTGCTGATGTTTGGTTCGGTCTTCGTTTTTAAATGATCTGCAGCCCTGTATCCTAACACTGGCTTTTAGGTTAGACATTGTCATTCTAGTTATTCGAATAAGTTACCAAATCTTTGTTGAATTGCTCTTTTAAAAAAAATCTTTTAATCTTCATTTCCCTCTCTATTTCTCTTTTTCCAGATCTTCTTACCACTAATCTCTTATTCCAATCTAACTGCACTTATTTTATTGTATGCTCCGGCTCTGTGCATTTTGTATTTTTAAATTTTAATAATATATAAAATCAATAAAAATATTTATGAATCTTTTACAGTTACTTCGGAAACCTAAAGAGTAGAAAATAAGATACAGCTTGTTTTATTTAAAAAATATATCTTTGATGTGGTAAAGTGTCATGGATACTTCTGTATATTTGTAAATAAATTTAAAATGAGAAGTTTACAGATACCTTTTAAATATTACCTACTTTGATGGTCTAAGAAATAGATGAAAGTTTTGAATTTTTGGATCATTAATTCATTTTAATAAAAAAGTTGTTCTATAAAATTAGTTTTTTTGCAATTAAAAATTATGCAATTAACAATAATTTTCATGATTTTAAATAATAATTGGTTTGCGTAATCGTTTATATATAATTAAAAAAATAAATTAACTTTATATCATTAAATTTAAACGGCAAAATTTTAGTCAAGCGGTTTTCAACTATTTTATAAAAGCTAAAAGTATTTGTAACTAACTGTATTCTTCAAATACTATATAGTACCGTATTGATTTTAATGATTCCGAATTCCATGCATCTATTTAGCAACTGAAATCACCCATACTTTTTCCATCAGTAATAAAACACTAGATCATTGGTGATCAGGACCAGATACTAGAAAGATGTGATATACTAAGAACGAAAGAACGAAACTAGTGATATACAGAACTCTTATCAAGCCCATCCTCACCTACGCCTCGGAAACATGGACGATGACAAAGAGCGATGAAGAACGTTTAAGATGCTTTGAACGTAAAATCCTCTGGCACATCTATGGAGGAGTACAGTAGGGAGGATTATGGCGTAGACGCTATAATTTCGAACTTTACCGCCTGTATGGCAAACCTGATATTATTAGGTCCGTCAAAATAAACCGACTGCGGTGGTTAGGTCACATAGAGAGAATGAATGAGATGTAGCCGCAAAAACATATTTATAAACAAAGAATATATGAAGTGAGAAGGAGAGGCAGATCCAGAGCAGATGGAGGAAGACTAAAGAATGTTGGGAGTACGTAACTGGAAAGCCAAGGCGAAGAATACAGGCCAAGACCCACCATGGGTTGTGGAGCCAATGATGATGAATAAAACCATAGACGTACCCGGTAGAGAATATATCCACTTACTTATTACTAATAACTCTTTCATATTTAATATAGTTTGCATATACCGACTTCCGGATACACTACTTACTCAGGACAATATGCTTATTGACAAACTCGAGGAATTATCATCCTTTGCAAATCTCATTGTTGTTAGATATTTCAATTTCCAGAGATTAGCTGGCTCATTATTATGGGATAACTGAGCCTTTAAGGTTTAGAACCAACAACAATCCTTTAATTTTAGACTTATTATTCACAAATGATGATTAATAAACGAAAACAATCGTCAATAAAAGATGTAAGAACGTTCAAAAGTGCGTGTGCAGATTCAGGCCACTACATGGTCACAGCCACTATAAGACAAAAAGTTAAAATTGAAACAAAACAAAAAAACCAATATAAAAAGTGGAATGTCAATAAATTGAGTAATGAAGAAGTAAGAAAAAAATATGGAGAGGCAGTAACAGTTCAAACAAAAGAGAAATATAAAGCAGAAGAAATAAGCACAGAATGGGAGACGATCAAAAAATCAATACAAGAAGGTGCAAATATGCAAATAGGTAAAAGTCAGGCTAAAACAAAAAACGATTGGTATAACCAAGAATGTAGAGAAATAACAGGAAAAAAGTACAAGCCAGAAATAAATGGCTAAGAACAGATAAAGAGGAAGACAGAAGAATATGAAAAATTAAGAGGGAATGCTAATAAAGTGATAAGGCAAAATAAAAGAAGATGGGTAAACAAAAAAATGCAGGAAATAGAGCAGCAAAGAACAAACAGAAATACGAAAAGTTTTTACAAAAAGATTAAAGAACAAAATAAAAAATACAAGGGCAAAACAAACGGAATAAAAAAAAAAAATTTAAATTTACTGTTTGTATTTTGAGAACGATTTCCGAAGTCTAAATTGAAACGTATTTTTATCTTTAATTGTGGCTTATTCCCAGATAAATAGTAATCAATTCAGATTTTTTTATCTGCCTTCAATAACGTTGAATGCTTATATCGACAAACACTCGGTCCCCATTTGCGTCAGCCACCTAAGCTATCTACTTAAGTGTTGCCCGTCTTCTACCGCGTGGAGGTGCAGATTGGGGGTTTCCCTTCATTGAGATCAAGACCATAAAGGCATTTATTAATACTTGGAAGAATAAGAGGATTCATAGACGTACAAGTTAGGTTGACATTTGAGCAGGGTGGGGGCTATTTGAGAATGCATCACTACCCCAAACTAGATATCTTTTTGTATTTTTTTTGTCTAGCTATCGATACACTCCTTCTGGCCATGTTTGTATTTTTAAACGCCACATGCATTTTCTGCAGGTCTTTCTTGTTTGTTTCAGATAGAGCAATAAAACCTAGCTTATGTTTTTTAACTTTTTATAGAATGTCTCCTCTCTTTGTTATTATTCGTTGTATGTTCCACTTTTCACAATTCAATGAATAAGAGAAGAAAAAAACGTTCATGGTCTTAAAATAAATCCTATTACAATAAACATCAGTACAAGTACTACGATTTGATCCAAGTTCAAGAACATATATTTACGTATACACTCACATTGTTTGATTAATCACCTATAAAATACATTTACGCGATATCACGAGGTAAATAAACACATTTTTAACACAAGAAATCTTATCACGCGTCTAGTTGTGGTAGAAAATAATAATATAATCTTAATCCCTAGGATTGACGTGTCTGAGATATCAATAATCTTGGGACATCGCAGTCTTCACATATGTTTTTAAGTGATCAAAATAATAAATAAAAATTTAAGGATCAAATCAATAACGTACTTACTTCAGAATACGTTTTTAACGAAATTAAAAATTATACATCTGTTGATACATAAATGTGCTTAAATTTTTTATTATGAATTACCCGTATATGGGTAAAATAATTATATTAAAGACATATGTGTACAACTAGAAGAACATGCTGATCGACAAGAATCTAGAGAACTTTCTCTACCGAATTCTAGAGAATTCAAACCGCAGACACAGATCATCAAAGAAAATAGTGGAAATACCATAACAAACCCAGACGGTATCGCAGAGGTGTGGAAACAATAATGCGAAATACTATTATCTAACAACGACCCATACAATAATACAGAGAAAAGAAGTTATGAAAAAGAACCTCAAATATTAAAATCAGAAATTGAGGAGGCAATTAAAGACAATTAGGTAAACACTCCTGACCGTGGAGCGCGAAGGCGGAGTCAAAATTCACGTAAAGGCAGAAAGGTTTTATTGTAAACCAAATTTCGTCTACTGCGTCGTGCTCAGGAGTGTTTACACTATCTCTAAAAAGCTTAAATTCAGAAAAGCAGAAAGAGATGATGGAATAACAGCTGAAACATTTAAAGAAATGGAAGAATTAAGGAAGAAAGTACTGATTAGAATTTGCAATGAGATCTGAAATTTCAGGTAGGGAAACTATTGTAGGTATGATTCTATACGTTTCAGTTGTCATGTACAACAAATATAGTGCACTTCATTTTTGTTTTTCTTCTGTTAATTTTAGGCCAAATTTAGCGACTTTGTCTAAATCTTTATTTTTTTCGCACAGCATCCTTTTGTTGCGATTTATCACTATTATATAAGGAGAATATAATTCTGTTCTTATTCTAATATTACAAGTTCCTAACTTTTAACTTAATCTCGAATATTTATTTTGCTCCAATCGTCTCTATCCATCGGCTTCCTTCGCCAAGCACCCCTATTAAGGAGGCTATCTGTATTGTCTATAGCATCTGCAATAGATGTGGTTAAGGTGAACATGTTATTAGCCTATTTGAATTCTAGTCTAGTAACAGAGCTGCCGTCCATGCCTTCTGAAGCAGCCACAGTTTCTTCCGGATATGGTAGCAAGGCATTTCCTTCAAGCTTATAGTAATAGTGTTTTACCGCTCATACTTAATCGTCAGAGCTTCGTTAGTTTTCAGCAAAATGTATAAGGTAGTTCTTACTACCATTCGAACAGTGGAAGCTTCTGTTTAACTCCTTGCATCTTTTGTTCTAGGGGTTAGTATAGGGGTTAGTATAGTACGTATCTGCTTCGGATGCTGGCGACCATCATGACAATCTGTATTTTGCAAACTGCTGATCTGGAAATATTTGATAAAATAGATAGATTGATATATACCGTCCACGTGTTAACATGTATATGTATCACTAAAGTCTTATGTACTGAATATCTTTTAATATGCATTATTTTTTTCAGGTTTAAGTTACACTGATTTAGCAGACAGAGTTGTGCTTCAAAACTGTACCAGACCTCCATGCAGAGCCCGAAAAGATAGCTTTTTAAAAGTTGAATACAAATTTACACCAGGTAAGTTAGAAATATAATGAAGCATCTACATATTATGCTTATAAATTAAGACACCTTTTCTCAGTATATCGATAATCACATATCTAGCTCCCAAATAACAAATGATATTGACAAAATTTTTCAATCGCTAAATGACATAATTTTAGAAAGTGCTGTAATATACGCTAGTAAAAGAAAACAAATGCAGGGACATATACTAGTACCGTGGTGATCAAAAGAATGCGAAGAGGTCACAAAAATAGTTAATTTACTTAAATAACCAAAAAAAGCATAATACACCGCAAAATAAAATTCTTACAAATAAATGGCAAAAGCACAACTTACTATAACGCAAGATAAAGGAAATTAATGATAAAAATTTGTCTTGGAAAATCAGTGACATAACAAACTTTGTGATATTCCTCAGACTTTTGACAAAGACAAAAGTACAAAATAAAATTATATCTACAGATGAAGATATCGCTTACCTTCTAGCGGATTTTTACGAAAGATTTGGATGGACTCTTCATTCTCTTAGAAATCATCTGCATTCTATAAATTTCTCAACTATAAAAATCCTGCGGTACTGCTAAAGTTATCAGATGCAGAACAAGTAAAAATAATAACTGAAATATTTAATGAAATATACAAGGCAAGAAAAATACATTGTCCTAAAAAACTGGAGCAAAAGTTTATAAAGACTATAGGACTATAAGCCTAATGAGCCATCTGCTGAAGCTGTTTTTAAAGTCATCCACAAAAGAATTTTCCGGAAATGCTCGGAACAAATTGCGCCCAGTCAGTTTGCATTTGTGAACGTCATTGGTACAAGGGAAGATTTGTTTAGCGTGCAGGTATTGTTTCAGAAATATAGAAATGTCAGCTGTGATGTTTTTGCATGCCTGATTGACAAGTCAGGCATGAACAAATGATGGAAGTACTGAAGAGGACAGGAATTGACGGAGGATACCTAAAAATAATAGCTAACTTGTATTGGAATCAATCAGCGGTGCTCCGAATAGATGGAGAATATACAGGTCAAGTCAAAATCTTAAGGGGAGTAAGAGAGGGATGCATAATTTTACCAATGATATTCAATCTGTACTCAGAGCACATTTTTAAAAAAGTTCTAAAAGATATTGATAAGAGCATCTTAATAAATAGAGTCAAGCTCAATAACCTGAGGTATGCAGACGATACGATAGACTTTCCAATAACATGAAAGGGCTGTAAAACTTGAACAAAATGAACAAAATAACGGAAACAAACAGAACATATGGACTAAATATATACACCAGCAAATCTGTATGTGAAGCACATGAGAATTGAACGTGTCTCACAGTACAACTACTTGAGAACTATAATCAATGAGTCGTGGGACAATACCCAAGAGATTAAATAGCGCATTGGAAAGGCAAAAAGTGCATTCTTGACTATGAGCTCTGTGTTTGAAGATACCATGGCAGACAAAGTCACCAATGAAGTAGTACTATTGAAGATGACCACAACCCCGGATTTAATCATCATTAAACATCGTGAAGCTGCAGTGCTTGGGACATATAATAAGAAATCAAGGCAGATATGAGCTACTCCAATGCATTTTGCAAGGTAAAATTGAAGGAAAAATTGCCCCAGGACAAAGAAGAATATCCTGGCATGCTAACCTGAGAGCATGGTATAGAAAGACCTCAATACAGCTATTTTGTGTAGCAACTAACAAAGTAGTCATCATAGCCAGAATAATTACCAACGTTGGGAATGGACAAGCACCCTAAAAAAAGATAAAAATCCTATGTAGCAATTAATAGTCGCCTTACATTTCAAGAACTTAAACAAAACTTTCAAACCTACAAGAATATAGTTTTGGAGCCAATGATATCCCAAGAATATTTCTAAAACATCGTCTAAATTAGCAAAATATTAAATACTTGATACATTTAATTCTATATGGACGTAAGAGCATTTTTCTTTAATATGGACCAATCGGACTCTTCTTCTTTGATCGCCACCCACAAAAGTTGGTTTAACTAGTTTTAACATGGTTGCATGTCGGATTTTAAAATGTCACAACATGGACCATGGAGGATAACATTAAAAAATCCACGATCTCGTATTATCAGACCGCGGAATGAAGATGCGCGGGATAGCTGAGAAAGTAGGCATCTTAAAGCCTGTTGATATCAACATCGTTAAAGTGGTGATGCTTTCTGATTCTGTGAGATCGATTACTTCAATTCAACAAGGATATCCTAAACATACAATTAAACAAATTATCAAAACAGGTTACATGTGTCAAAAAACGGGTAAAACAGTTGACTTCATATGGATGGACGAATTCAAACAGCAATGAAGTCATTTTAAAATGGTTTCAAATTTATCGGTTGTACTAGGACAAACAAAGTGAATAAAAACATTTAATAGACCATTTGAAAGCAATCGACATAGCGATATCTCAATATTTTTTTGTTTAAAATCATATACACATTTTAGTACTCTTTTGTAAAAATTCCTTTTTTTAACTATGTAATCCATATATTTATACTTTTAAAAATTAAACAGTTTTGTTGCTAATAACCATTCGATGGATGCGACTTTGGCTTCCAAAAAATCAATACTTATTTTTTAATTTAAAGCAAAACTGACATTAAAAAAATAAAAAATAACTTTATTCCTTGAATGAAACAAGGTATATATTCCTACAATTAAAAACCTTCTACGGAAACTTTGTTCCCAAAACAATTATATGCGTATATAAATAAAATAATTTAGCTATTAAAATTCACCTTGGTACGGTCGTTTACAAATTAGAGGTGTTACATTGTTGGAAATACGTAGCTCAAATTACTATATTTATTAGCTAGCAAATATAAAATCTGGCGCAATAAACTTCAACGGACATAACCAAGGGTTACTATATACACTCAGGTGCAAAAAATTCGATTTACGCCTATTTTATAGAGAAGATGACACATTTTTGGAGTTGCCACTAGTAGATCGAACATAGATTTAAGGAGGAACAATTTATGCGAAAAACTATTTAGTTATAAAAATATAAGACATTAATTCACAAAAACAGTAGTAAGTAAGTATAGCAATAGTTTTGTTGAAACAAAAACAGTTATAACAAAATAGTTTTTAGGTCATTTTTTATTAATACTAAGTATTTCTTCCTCGTGCCATTGTAATAGCCTGCAGATGTCTTGGCCTTGTAGTAATTAAATGTTGAACATGAAGTTAGTCAAATTCGTTCCATATTGTCTGAAGAGCCTCATTAAGCTCAGGCAAGTTGTTTGGGCCTAGTAACCGAAATTAAATCCATCTTCCCAGTATGTCCCATAGATCTTTGATTGTATTGAGAACGGGGCTGAAAGCTGAAATTATATTCATTAACGATTCTAGCATGGTGGGGACGCGCGATATCGTCGATTAAAATCAAATTATGTCCTATGAATGATGAAAGATTATTACATTATCTAGCTAGCTATGGAAAGCTTGAAACTGAAGTAGAAGATCAAGTGAATAGAGCAAATATAGTCACAGGCTGACAGAATTAAAGAATATGGAGAAATAAAAATATCAGGAAGGAAACGAAAGGCAGAATTTACAAAACAGTCATCACACCAGTAATGATATACGCGGCATAAACAAGACCTGACCCAGAGAGGATAAAAAAACAACAGAGATACGTCAAGAGACGGTTTCCCAATAGGAAGATGATCAGTAGGAAGACCACGAAAACGATGGAATGATAACTTCCTGGAGGCACATTGAAAAACAGAGTCATGTCTATATAAAAAGAAGAAGAAGAAGAAAATGATGAAACAGTTTCCACATGCACATCTAAAATAGTTATTCTATACCTGGCTCCTGCCATAGAACCTCTATCAATCAGAACTAAGCTAGTTCGAATATTGGAATTTACATCAGTCCAAACCAATAACTCGAAAAACCATACTCGAAAATGAAGTAAGACAGGCTTTCAACAAGCTCAAATATAACAAAGCACCAGGTCGAGATATGATAACAGCAGAAATGCTTAAAGCCACAGAAGAAACCGGCGTAAAGTTACTTCATCTACTCTGTAACCAAATATGGCATTCCAAACAATGGCCTGAAGACTGGACAAAATCTACAATAACGACCATACATAAAAAAGACAGCTTCCATAAATGCGACAATTATAGAACTATCTCTCTTATATCCCATGCCAGCAAGGTAATGCTACATATAATCAATGAGAGACTGAAAACATTTTTTCAAAGAGAAATTCTACAAGAGCAAACTGAATTTACTAAAGGTAGAGGCACTCGAGAACACCTGCTGAATATAAGTCAGATAATCGAGAAATCTATGGAATTCAACATCCCACTATACATCTGTTTTATAGATTACCGTAAAGCGTTCGACAGGGTCAAGTGGAGACACTTATGGCGAATACTAAAAGAAGTAGGCGTACCACAACATCTAATTACACTTGTAACTAAACTATATGAACACACTACTGGATCAGTTAAAGTACTTGACACACTTTCGAACGAGTTTCATCCAGAACGGGGTGTCAGACAAGGACGTATACTATCTCCACAATTATTCAACATATATGGGGAGTATATTATGCGAAGAGCACTTGAAGGATGGGAAAGGGGCATCTCAATAAATGGTCATAAACTAAACAACCTACGTTTCGCAGATGAAACAGCCCTTCTTGCAAATAGTCAAGCAGAGCTGATGGAACTTATACGACTGATCGAAAACGAAAGTCAAATATTTGGTCTACAATTAAACATATCCAAGACAAAGATCATGATAGTGGATAGACTACACAACAATCATCCAAACATAACCACAATTGACCGGTTCGAGGTTGTGAGCTCATACTTATATCTCTGACCATTAATTACAAACACAGGGTCATTACAAGAAGAGATTAAACGTAGATGTGATCTAGCAAAAGTTGCCACAGCAAAAATGACCAAAATATGAAAGGACTGTCAAATTTCAAGAGCGATAAAGATGAAGTT